CACCACCGGAGCCACTCCTCTGCAAAGACCCGCGACCAGCTCCACCGCCACCCCCACCGCCTCCACCGCCTCCGCTGCCTCCACTGCCGCCGCCGCCTCCACCGCCTCCTCCACCGCCGCCTCCTCCGCCACCTCCGCTACCACCGCCACCGCCGCCGCGGCCTCCGCCTCCACTGCCGCCACCGAACCCCCCACCCCCACCTCCACCTCCACCGCTACCCCCACTCCCCCCACTGCCTCCACCTCCACCTCCACCGCCCGCTCCTCCAGCTCCCTTGCCCCCCTTGCCCTTGCCAGGGCGGCGTCTCCCGCTAGGGGCGGACGCCGCACCGACCGACTCAAGACCAAGGAGGTCGGCCGAAGCAGCAGAGGCAACAGAGGGCAGCAGGGGGGAGGGAGAACACCCCTCAAAGATGGGGGTGCGCGGGTCACCTCGAGAGGCTCCTACAGCGACTATGCTCTTTTCTATCACGAGGAGGGCCTTCTCGAGGAGGTCTACAGTGAGTGTGGTGGGACAGACTAAGAGAAAGTGGTCCCTGACTACTCGAAGGGAGTCAGGGAGGCGAGTGACTAGGAAGTACAGAGTGATGTACATGGGGGGGGGGTTCGCGGTGCAGAAGTCAGCAGGAAGTGCAGCGCGGTAGCGAGTGTCACTAGTGCGGAGGTGCGTAATGAGGTCAGCAACGGTGGGAAAAGAAGCAAGGTCAGGGAAGAGGTACGGCAGCATGAGACGGCTCAGTGCAGCAGTGGAAGGGGAAGAGTAGCGCGCGACTACAGCGGCGTACAAGGTCTGAGCACTCTTGTACTGACTAAAGTGCGCACGCTCGGAGGTAGGGAGGTGGCGACGCACAGCAAGACGTGCAGCAGCATCGCGCGTGGCCCACTGGGAGCGAACAGTGGCGTCAGCATCAGCAGCAGGGGCAGGGGAAGCGCCAGAGGTGAGATCAAAGAGAGAGAGGCCGTCCGCCCTATCGCACTGTAAGAACAGCTGTAGGTCATCTATCCAGACCTCAAAGTCAATGGCCCGACCCTCAGCGTCAAAAGTGAGGACACTAGGGGTAGCCATGACAGCAGTAGACCAGCAGTGCAAGGAGTAGGGGAAGAGCACGCAGTGACAGAGGGTCTGTGCTCACCGGACAGGGCTGCTCGGGCGGCTCGGCTGCAGGGCGGCTCGGCCGCTGGGCGGCTCGGCGGCTGGGCGGCTCGGCGGCTGGGCGGCTCGGCAGCTGGGCGGCTCGGCGGCTGGGCGGTCGGCTGCACGGCGGCTCGGCTGGTGGGCGGCCGGGCGGCTCGGCTGCAGCGCGGCTCGGCGGCGGGGCGGCTCGGCTGCTCTGCTGCTGGGCGGCTCGGCTGCGCTGCTGTTGGGCGGCTCGGCTGGGCCGCTGACGTAGGGCGGCGGGGCCGCTGTAGAGGAGTGGCGGGGCCGCTGCAGAAGGAGCGGCGGGGCCGCAGTGAAGGGCGGCGGGGCCGCAACGAGAGAGGCGGCGGGGCCGCAGCGAGAGAAGCGGCGGGGCCGCGAAGTCGGGCGGCGGGGCCGCTGAGTAGGGCGGCGGGGCCGCAGTGGGAGGCGGCGGGGCCGCAGCGAGAGAGGCGGCGGGGCCGCGAAGACGGGCGGCGGGGCCGCTGAGACGGGTGGCGGGGCCGCAGTGAGTGGCGGCGGGGCCGCAGCGAGAGATGGCGGCGGGGCCGCGAAGACGGGCCGGGGCGGCTCGAAGCCGCAGGTAGAGGCGGCGCGAAGCCGCGGGAAGGGCGGCGACGGGCCTGGGCGGCGCGAAGCCGCAGGTAGGGGCGGCGCGAAGCCGCCGGTGAGGGCGGCGCAAAGCCGCGGGTAAGGGCGGCGACGGGCCGGGAAAAGGGCAACGCGCCGCAGCCGCTAGGGCGGCTCGACGCGACCGTAAGGGCGGCGCGACGGGCCGCTGGGTGCGACTCGACGGGCCGCTAAAAAAAAAAGGCAGGCGCGACTCGAGGCGCGCTTCGGTGGGCCCAAGGAACAGTCCCTAGGAGGGGACCTGCTCTGATTCCATGTGAGAATGAGAACGAGAATGGGTGAACTATGAAAATGAAGTGAGTACAAATATGAAACCCTAATTGGTTGTACCCCCTATGGGATACCCCACTATAGCCTACACAACAGCATAAGCTATAATGTTCTGACAATAGTGACGGGTGCGATACAGCTGCACCTATGGGAAAGTTCAAGTCGATTCCCTACTTACTCCAACAACAATGGTGTTAGGTTGCTGTAGCATGGTTTCTTGTTGCTTACTCTGCTTGTTCTTGCATCTATATATATTTGTAAACCCTTGAACTGGGCTTGTGGCCGTTTGCTTGTGCTCGGAATGTGTGGTGGTCTTGAGATCCACCACGAGCGTTGTCTTGTTACTTCAGTTTACTTGTCTTGTGACCCATTGTTTCTCTTGACTGAGCAATCAGACTGGCAGAATTCTGGCCGAACTACCATCAGACTAAAAGGAAACGTCAGCCCGGCCAACTGAGCCGTGAGGTTGGGGTGTGATGGGAAGAGTGACGGGAACAGTGGTCGAGGCAAGTATCGCGGGGTGGTAACAATTTTCTGTTGGGGTACTGTGGCAGGAACATTCGTGTATGCAGTGAGCAGGGGCGCGAAGTAAGGAAGCATAATTTTACTTGCACCGAGTCACGGAATTTTTATGGCGCATTTTGGTCATATGCATGTTGTCATTGTTAGTTTAGTCATTATTGAGTTATGGCGTGTACGTTTGTTACATGTTGAGCTTCAGGATTCCTAACTGTCTCGAAAATCTGATTGCGCTCCACAATCCCTGAGTTTGGGGTACCCCTAGATCTAGGTTTGGTCGTTTCGGGCACCGATGTTTTAAACTGTGCAGCTTCCTTTCTTGTTTCCCGAGAGCAGCTAAAGCAGGATTTCGGAACTGTTTACCGTTTCATATAGATCCTTCTATAGATCGCATATCTTTTGCGGTGAAGATCTCCTCGAAATCGACGGCCTTCGTGAACGTTTGGAATATCTTGTTCATCATGACAGTCCGCGTGTGAACTTCTAATGATGAATAGATCCTTCTACAAATCCTCATTGGTGGATTTGTTTCATGCTGGATCGCGTCAGTTGATCACTTTTCGTGGTGCGCTAAAACCTTGTATATAATCAAAATCGCCCTGCAAACAAAGGTTTTTCGGACTAATATACGGAGCCTGCTTGTTTTCATTTATCAGTTTGTCAAATTAGAGTTGTTTTCATACCGAAATAAATCATACATTTACTATAAACAGGCTGAACCCAGTCAAGAGTACCAGCACAACGTGGTTTGCCCACTATTTTTTTCATGAACCATCCGACGTTCCGTTGTTTCCGAACCCACCCAACGCTCAAGAATCGACGGAATCCTGAACAGCAGGTCCAAAATACCGAATCTACGAGTGAGCGCACCTCACCGCCAGCCATCGCTTCTGGTGGTGTAACCAAGATTATGCTTTGTGGTTCATGCATCAACCTCGCCCATGCAGCAGCATCGGGTCGGGTGGCGCAAGGACCAGAATCTAGGGCTATAGCTCCATTGCCATCCATCGTGGAGAAATGACAGGCTGGCCCGCATGCGGGATTGTTGGGCAAAGTGAGGCTCTGATGAGCTCTCAAGTTCGAAATTTTCAAGTCAGCCCTTCCCCCCCCTGTAATTGTACACAGGAAACACCCAAATTGGGAAAATAAATTTGCTAACATACTAAGGAAAAAAACGTTACTGTTAGTCCTACGGCGATTTCTCCTGCGAGAACTAGTTGACTAAATATGCCTCTCGAAATACTCTATGCTTAATATCTTAAATAATTGCATCATGCATTTGACTATCAATAGCACAGATAAGTGGAAATTATTGGAGGTGAGTGGTGATGGCAGGTGTTGCTCCGGGGAAGTTCAATTCATTTTTTGGTGCTGAACTTCGGGATGCTGAAAATGAAAAAAGGGGATGTGTGGGGTGCCAGTCACCACCAGCTGTCGGCGACTCAGGCGAGAGATCATCCCTCCAATTCCAAGAGGCAACATTGCTTCACTTCATCATGTGCTGCTCACCACTTTCACTTTCAGTGAAACCTGAAACCCTTACTGGATCGTAGTGTCTTACCAAACTCACAGAGCAGACCAAACTCACGTGATGCATTACCTAGCACAAAGTTCGGCACAGGCAGCTCAACTAGGAAATCTAGATAGAAGTTCCTCAAAAATAGTTTTCTTTCCTTCCGAAATGCGCGATCAGTATGAAAATGCAAGGCAAGTTCCTCGTCCTCAGCCTCAACTAGAGCTTGAGCTCAGTCTCGCTCCCAATCCATCCTTGGGCGCCAGGGCCCATGCCGTTCACCCAGAAATTCCGCCGCATTACCGTCCTTTTGGAGACGATGATCAAGCGCGAGTGGGAGGAGAAATCGCCGAGTTTCCTTCACGACATTCGGCATCGATTCGTTCTCCTGAAGAACGCCGCGTACATGGCCCTGCAACCGATTTCCGTCAGGAAACGCATGAGCCTCAGTATCGCCGTGAAGCAGGCGTCAGTTCCAGTCAAGGAGCTGTCAATTTTCAACTTGAAGCAGCAGATCTACTGATTTCTGAATCCAGCGTTGCTCTTTGTGCTGATTCTGGCCCGTCTGTGGTTCCAACGACACACCTGGTTGAAAGAAACGCCATCGCACCCAGAAATATCTGGTTTCGGCCAACCGACCCGCAAGATCTCAACAACCCATCTACCACAGGTCTCTGGAGCCACCTCTCTGGCGCTGCAGGGACGGCAGGAGTCCGCCTGGCCCCGGAACGTCACGCTCCGCCTTTTCAGCATGAATCTTCGCTTTACCGCCTTGGAGACTCCCAAACTACCGGTCGTGCCACAGATGGAAGAGAAACGCAGGCGCATACCTTCCAGACGGCGGCAGCATGCGATCCAGCGGTGGAGGCTCGAGGCCTGCCTGCGCTACACCGGGAGGCGGCAGGCGAGGATGTACGCAACAGAGAGTCCATGATCGCTGTCGTCATGGCTGCTGCGGCTGCAGCGGCGGCCGCATCGAGTGCCAGCGGTTCCGACACCGCAGCAGATGCAGGTTTCTCCCAAAGGAGGTCTTTATTGGGCGCACAGCAGTACGGCGCAGCGCTGGGAAACGCCACAGTCATCCCTGCGTCGCTCTCCCTTGTTCAATCCACCCAGCTCAAAACCTCTTCTGCCCCTGCTCCGGCTGCAGCATCCCCAGCACCTGCAGCTCCTGCATCAGCCTCTGCGTTGTCTGCGGCGCTGTCTGGGCAGGCGTTGATGGGAGTGCAGCGCGCCATGGTGCTGGCTGCTGCTGCTGCCGCCATTTCCGGCCACCACGCCACCGTGCCGCATCGCACCGTGTCTACCGATCCAGCAGCAGCGGTGACAACAGCTGTTCAACCTACAGCTTCCCGGCCTTCCTCCTCGCTCGCACTCTCCTCTACCACCACCGCTGCTGCAAGCGCCGGTGCCGCCAGAACAGTCACCGTTGGGAGTGGTGGAGGCAGAGCTGCTGTGTGCGATGAGGAGGGCGGCATGGCTCCTCGTGTGAGCAAGCTCCTCGCCAAGTGGCTGCGGTCGGACGACGAGGGTCCACACGTGTGCCCTGTTTGCAAGCAGAGCTTCCCCACGGCTGGCGGCCTGAAGCAGCATCAGCACGACCGATGGCGCTGCTCCCTGGGCTCTCAGGCCGTGCAGGCCTCTGCACCCGCGGCTGCTGCCGCTGCTTCCGCTGCTGCAGCTGCTGCTGCTGTGGCTGGGCCAAGCCACGCGGCGTCAGGAGCGGCTGGAGCTTCTGTTGCTGCTGGTCGCAGTGGGCGCTCAGGTGTGAGTACGAATACTGGGGATGGGCGTAGAACCATTGGAAGGAAGGAAAGTGACAAGAGGGGCATTGGGAGAAAGGATGGTGAAGGAAAGGGCACCAGCACGACTGTGACAGACAGCTCAGGCATGCTGTGGCCTCGGCTGTCCGTACTTGATTCAGGCAGGGAGGCTGCGGGGAAGGACACGTCCCGGAAGGCCAAGAGCAGGGGGAAAGGAACTTCTGAAGTTGGAGGAGTGAGGAGCCTGGAGAGAAAAGGTCAAACTTCAGGAAGCAAGCGGCCGCAGAGTGAGATTGTGTCGGGCGGTTCATTCATGGAGCACCCAGCAAGGCAGTCCGTTGGGCAGCAGAGTGAGAAGCAGCAGATGGAGAGAGCTTCAGCAAGCGCAACCCCCTTCACACGGCAGATCAGCATCACCAACACATCTCCCCCTCATCGAACCTCCCTCAGCGCCCCCTCCGCTGCCTCTCCTTCCCTCGCCCACTCCTTCTCTCTGCCTTCCCATCGTTCGTCCGTGACAGCCGGATTGCAGGGGGCGGACGATGGGCAAGGAGGGTCAAGAATGCACGGTCAGCAGCACTTTGGTGAAACCATTCCGATGGCCGATGAAAAGTTGCTGAGCCCTCCCAAGCGCTTTCGGTCAGGGAAGGGGAGAGGAGAAGCTGCAGGGGAAAATATTGACATGGCTGAAGGAAACAGATTGCGAGGCAAGGGTATGCAGTTCCATGAATCGAGAGACTTTGACGTGGAAGGGCAGAAACACAGTATGGCAGATGATGGCATGGCGGGCGACGAGTCAGTGCATGGTGGTCCTGCTGCATCAGCAGAGACGGCGTCCGCAGGAGTGGCAGATGTGACAGCCATGGCTGGGTGGCTGCGAGCAGCGCGTGTGCGCAGAGGAGAGCAGTGGGGACCCCCGCCATCCGCCTTCCCTGCTCCCGACGCTCCTCATGGTGGGTTCGTGGCGCCTGCCAGGGCTGCAGGAGGGCGAGGAGGTGGAGGGGAGGAGAGGGTGGGCAGGGATGAGGAGGAGGCAATGGCGTATGCGGTGGATACGCAGCGCTGGCACACGACACAGCGCTCCCGCGTGGAGGTCCTTGATCGCAACTGGCCGCCCTGGCAGGTGTCTGACTTGCCTCTCTCGGGCTCTCTTCCAGCTCAGGCGGAGAGAGGGTTTGGGGTGACGGCAGCAGGCGAACAGGGGTCTCGTGGTGCTGACTCGTCCACCAGAGCGACCTTTTCCAAGGCTGCCACTGCTGCTGCTGGTGGTACTGGTGGGAGTCATGGGGCGAGTGAGAGGGTAGAGCCGGGGTTGTCCTTTGACCTCAACATGGCACACGGGGGAGATGAGGATGCTGAGAACGCGCGTGGCCGTGACAAGCAACAGCCTCCAGCAGTTGGAGGAGCCACAGATGCGGTGCGTGCTCAAGACCCCAATCCGAACATCTGGAGCAGGGCGGGAGCATCAGGAGCTACTGGTGCAGGCACAGCTGGTGCAGGCGCAGCTGGTGCAGGCGTACCCACCATGAGCATTCCGGAATCGTGCTGCTCTTGGAACTGCGTGTTCTTCTCGCTTCCCTGCCGCAGAAAGACACGGGTGCAGATGACAGGTAGCCAGGCAGGGGAACGAGGTGAGTCGCAGCAAAAGGAATCTGAGTGAGAAGAGAGGAGATAGCCAGTCAAGGAAGGAGCTAGTCAGCCTTCAGGATCGGTGGGTAAATCATTGCGGGAGCTAGATATTGAGAGATGAGCTGTTCCCACAAGACCATCATGTGCGCATGTCAACTGACAATGAGTGTGTGGACAAAGCAGCATAGCGTCTGTCTATGTATATTCATTGTATTTAAGCCGGCATTGTACACCCTAGGGTGTATTGATAAATACCCCCCCTTTAAGGGGGTGTTTGATTTTGGGAGGAGGGGTGAGAGGGGGGAGGGGTGGGTTGGGGGAGAGGGGGATGTATGTACGGTAACAGAAATAGAAATAAAGCACAGGTTCTGAAAAAGCTCATACAAGTAAGGAACACAATCGGTATGTATGGGTTCTACCGCGAAAACTCGTGCAAATCAAGCTCCAAAGGCTCCTGAAATCAAGCACTGATAGTGAAACTGAATTGAAGTAGTCACCAATAGGCTGCCATGGAGACCATGTCCTGGCGCGCCATCAGTGCAATCACCACCACCACCCTCCATCTTGTCACGTTGTACGAGGGGCCACGTGCTCCCTGCCCACTCTCCTGCCTGAACGTGGTTGATGAGGTCTCTTAGAAGCTAGGCATGAATGACTTGCACTATTGAGAGGTTTTGGTACAAGGCAGAAACCTAAGGGGTTGTACCCCACAATATCTACCCCACTACAGCCTACCCAAAACTATAAGACATACCTATGTTTGACACACCCCCATAGGCAAAGTGGGGTAGAGCAAGAGGTCACAAGACCAGTCAAGGAAAGCAAAACAAGCTCAGGGTGGATTACAACGTCACCACACACACTGAGCACAAGCAAAAGGCCACAAGGCCAGTTCACATGTAGGTATACATGCAACAAGAACAATACAGTCATCTCTACCTAGCAAGCGCAAGCATGCAGGTGTATACATGTATATAGATCACAGTACAAGCAGAGTCTACAGCAAGTGTGGAAACGTAGGCACAAGGCCCAACAAAATACAAAAGCGCTGATGATCACCAGACGGAACTGCCTTGGTGAATATATCAGCAGTGTTGGCCCGAGTGGCCACGTGAGCAAGACGAAGCTGACCCCGTTGTTGCAACTCTCGAGCCAGGAAGTAACGCAGAGCGATGTGCTTCGTTCTGTGCTCCAGTCTCTGCTCCTGACACAAGGCAATGGCTGCCTTGTTGTCGACGTACAGAACTGGAGGAGAACGAGGCCTCTCTCCCAAGTCGGTCAGCAGGTAGGTGAGCCAGCGTAACTCTTGTGCAGCCATGGCTGTGGCGTAGATCTCAGCCTCACAACTGGAGCTGAGAACAGAAGACGAGCGAGTAGACCGCCAAGAAACAGAGCCAGAGCCAAGACTGAAGGTGTAACCCTGTGACGACCGCTGCGTAGCCTGGTCGTCAACCCAAGAAGCGTCCAAGTGACCAGTGAGGACAACGTCGCCCCGTCCTCCAAGCACGAGCCCCATGCCCGATGTACTGCACAAGTAGCACAGTACCCTCTTAGCTGCATCAATGTGCACCTTTCGGTGCCGACCAGGAGCCACGTAGCGAGCCAGAAGGCCAAGAGGGTACGCAAGGTCAGGACGAGTGCAGGTCATCAGGTACATGAGGCAGCCAACTAGCTCTGGGTAAGGACCACTCGGCTCTACGGACTCGTCCGAAGGTGGAGCTGAGAGCGAGTGACCTGTAGCTAGAGGAGTGGCCTGTGCGGAGGACCAGGTGAAGCCGAAGCACTGAAGGACCTGCTGCACCATGTGTGACTGAGTCAGTGTGATGGTGCGGCGTGCTCTGTCCCGGGTGATCTGCAAGCCAAGGTAACTGCGCAGCTCACCCAGGTCTGTGCACGTGTGTCTCTTCTGCAGCTCCGACTTCACCAGGGCGAGAGCCTCAGTGTCAGCAGTGGCAAAGACCAAGTCATCGACGTACACGAGGATGTAGAACGGCGGCAGCGAAGTGTCGGTGCGCAGAAACAGCGACGGGTCAGCAGTCGACGGAGCAAACCCAAGAGCCGCAAGTGTCGTCCTCAGTGTGTCGTGCCACTCACGTGGCGCCTGGCGGAGACCGTAGACCGGCCGCCGGAGGCTCCACTGGGTACCAGGAGGGAACGACCCAGTGAAGCCAGGCGGGCGGCGAAGCCAGATCTCCTCGTGCAGGCTGCCCTGTAAGAAAGCTGTGTTGAAGTCAAGAGAGTGAAGCTTGTAGTCACGCTGAGCGGCAACGTGCAGCAGCACCCGAAGAGTGGTCATCTTCGGGGTGGGGGAGAAGGTCTGGAAGAAGTCAACTCCTTCTCGCTAACTGAAGCCTCGAGCAAGGTAACGAGCCTTGAAGACAGGCGGAGAACCTGGCGGCCGCTTCACCCTGAAAATCCACATGCCGTCGACGATGTTCGCCCCGAGAGGGGGAACCTCATCGACGTAGGTGCCTGTGGACTTCCATGATGCCATCTCTGCGTCCATGGCTGTCTGCCACTGAGAAGAGTACTCACCCGCGATAGCCTCAGCGTAAGAGCGCGGGGTCGGGATGTCTGGTGCATCCGGGTCTCCCTCAGGGGCAAGCAGCATTGCCACGAGATGAGGCGCAGCGGCCGCAAGACACTCAAGGTCCTCGTGCCTGTCCTGAAGGACGTCCGTGCTAAGAGCACACTCACCCTCGACGGACGGAGGACAGAGAGACTCAGACTCAGCAACAAGACTAGCAGCGTAGTCTAGACGACAGGCAGCAGCAAAGTCGACAAGCTCAGCGACTAGGGCAGACGCAGTAGTGGACTCAAACGACGGGTCAGTGACCACAGTGGCTAACAGACGCGTGACAGTAGGGTGCTCAGTATGAAACTGGTCAGACTCAGGGTCCGCAACGGCATGCAGAGAGGACGCAGGGGGGGAAGGCAGAAGAACACGCTGCAGAGGAGAGGAAGGACGACGGACTACAAGGTGGGTGCCGGGGACAGCCGGCTGACGCGGACGAGGAACACGACGACCTGAACAACCAGAATGGACAGGCGAGACAGGACGCGACGCAGGCTCACGACGCTCAGCAAGGCCCCCTGTCTGCTCAGTGTAAGGAGAAGGAGCAGGCAGCGGCGAGCCAGGCTGTAACGGAAGACCAGTAGACGGAGGGAGAGTGAGAACCTGGCGAAGCGCAGAGTCAGGCGGTGGCTGAGACGATGGAGACGGCGGAGCGAAGAACAGGCGCGGCTGTGCAGTGCCACCAGCACCAGCAGCTCCAACACCTTTAGCAGCTCCAGTACCAACAGCAGCTCCAGCACCTCCAGCAGCTCCAGAACCCTCAGTAGCTCCAGCACCTCCAGCAGCTCCAGTACCCTCAGCAGCTCAAGCAGCTCCACCAGCTGCAGCACCCCCAGAACCGGCACCTCCAGGCCTAGGGTCTCCAGCAGTAGCACCCTCAGACACAGTTCCTCCAGCCCCAGTAGCTCCAGTACCTCCAGTACGAGCACGTCACGGACCAGCGACTCCAGCACCTCCAGTAGACAAAGGACCAGCACCACCCCATGCTCCAGAGGTAGGGAGGTGGCGACGCACAGCAAGACGTGCAGCAGCATCGCGCGTGGCCCACTGGGAGCGAACAGTGGCGTCAGCATCAGCAGCAGGGGCAGGGGAAGCGCCAGAGGTGAGATCAAAGAGAGAGAGGCCGTCCGCCCTATCGCACTGTAAGAACAGCTGTAGGTCATCTATCCAGACCTCAAAGTCAATGGCCCGACCCTCAGCGTCAAAAGTGAGGACACTAGGGGTAGCCATGACAGCAGTAGACCAGCAGTGCAAGGAGTAGGGGAAGAGCACGCAGTGACAGAGGGTCTGTGCTCACCGGACAGGGCTGCTCGGGCGGCTCGGCTGCAGGGCGGCTCGGCCGCTGGGCGGCTCGGCGGCTGGGCGGCTCGGCGGCTGGGCGGTCGGCTGCACGGCGGCTCGGCTGGTGGGCGGCCGGGCGGCTCGGCTGCAGCGCGGCTCGGCGGCGGGGCGGCTCGGCTGCTCTGCTGCTGGGCGGCTCGGCTGCGCTGCTGTTGGGCGGCTCGGCTGGGCCGCTGACGTAGGGCGGCGGGGCCGCTGTAGAGGAGTGGCGGGGCCGCTGCAGAAGGAGCGGCGGGGCCGCAGTGAAGGGCGGCGGGGCCGCAACGAGAGAGGCGGCGGGGCCGCAGCGAGAGAAGCGGCGGGGCCGCGAAGTCGGGCGGCGGGGCCGCTGAGTAGGGCGGCGGGGCCGCAGTGGGAGGCGGCGGGGCCGCAGCGAGAGAGGCGGCGGGGCCGCGAAGACGGGCGGCGGGGCCGCTGAGACGGGTGGCGGGGCCGCAGTGAGTGGCGGCGGGGCCGCAGCGAGAGATGGCGGCGGGGCCGCGAAGACGGGCCGGGGCGGCTCGAAGCCGCAGGTAGAGGCGGCGCGAAGCCGCGGGAAGGGCGGCGACGGGCCTGGGCGGCGCGAAGCCGCAGGTAGGGGCGGCGCGAAGCCGCCGGTGAGGGCGGCGCAAAGCCGCGGGTAAGGGCGGCGACGGGCCGGGAAAAGGGCAACGCGCCGCAGCCGCTAGGGCGGCTCGACGCGACCGTAAGGGCGGCGCGACGGGCCGCTGGGTGCGACTCGACGGGCCGCTAAAAAAAAAAGGCAGGCGCGACTCGAGGCGCGCTTCGGTGGGCCCAAGGAACAGTCCCTAGGAGGGGACCTGCTCTGATTCCATGTGAGAATGAGAACGAGAATGGGTGAACTATGAAAATGAAGTGAGTACAAATATGAAACCCTAATTGGTTGTACCCCCTATGGGATACCCCACTATAGCCTACACAACAGCATAAGCTATAATGTTCTGACAATAGTGACGGGTGCGATACAGCTGCACCTATGGGAAAGTTCAAGTCGATTCCCTACTTACTCCAACAACAATGGTGTTAGGTTGCTGTAGCATGGTTTCTTGTTGCTTACTCTGCTTGTTCTTGCATCTATATATATTTGTAAACCCTTGAACTGGGCTTGTGGCCGTTTGCTTGTGCTCGGAATGTGTGGTGGTCTTGAGATCCACCACGAGCGTTGTCTTGTTACTTCAGTTTACTTGTCTTGTGACCCATTGTTTCTCTTGACTGAGCAATCAGACTGGCAGAATTCTGGCCGAACTACCATCAGACTAAAAGGAAACGTCAGCCCGGCCAACTGAGCCGTGAGGTTGGGGTGTGATGGGAAGAGTGACGGGAACAGTGGTCGAGGCAAGTATCGCGGGGTGGTAACAATTTTCTGTTGGGGTACTGTGGCAGGAACATTCGTGTATGCAGTGAGCAGGGGCGCGAAGTAAGGAAGC